GTGTGTGAGTGTGAATGGCCAAGTAGTGAAAGCGCTTTGAGTGTGTTGTAAAGCGTAGAAAAGCGCTATACAACCATTTACCGTTTAAATACGATTCAGCATGAATGAGTTCTTCTTCTTCTTCTTCTTATGGTGTTTATTGGCGGTTTGCAGGCCAACCTAAGGTGCATTACCGTCACCTGCAGGGCTGGAGTGTGGAACGATAATAGAACCGAAGAAATATATATAAAGTTCTTAAAGCTGCATAAACTACTAAATCCTATCCAAAATACCCATATCTGCCAAATAACTAATAACAACTTTATATGCTGTCTTACAATTGCTACCCAAAAGACTGTAGTGATATATTAGTAATCTTTTTTTCCAGTACTGCTGCTTACATTCGCAAAGACATCATTGATCATTATATTAAATATAGGACTACACACACTACCTTGTGGTGTACCGTTGTCAACTGTATAAATACCTGAAAATTCTAAACCCACTTTGCCCTTGATCATAAAAGGCTGCAAGCACACTTTCTTTATTAGTTTGTGCTTTCCTAATGTTAGATTGTAAACATAAAATTGAATCTCTAGTACTCCTGCCTTTTCTGAAACCATTTTGATATGATATAATCAAACCTTTTGTTTCAAGAAAATACACCAGTCTAGTAGTTATCATACATTCCATAATCTTACCTAATTCAGAGGTGAGTGCAATAAGCCTATAACTTTTAGGATCAGAAGCATCTTTCCCTGGCTTCAAAATAGAAACAACAACAGAGTGCCTCCATGCCTCCAGGAATTTGTCCTGTGTCCCAAATTTTATTAAACAAGTCCAACACTCCAGATAATGAAATATCCCCTAAATGTGCTATCATTACTTTCTAAACACCATCCTTTCCAGGGGATGAAACTCTAGCTTTAGCTAAAGCCCTGATGAATTCAGACATAGTAAAAGGCAAATCCAAGTCTGTATTCTGTGTATCATTAACTTCTACAGTACTGGAATATTGTCTGATGGTTTCAGTCCTGCATAGTCTGTCTTGTAATGATAGGTTTCCATTACTATATGTTTTGGAAAACAATTCTGCCATTAGATTTGCTGTCTTTGTCATTTATTGCAATTTTACTTGTGGAGGTTGAATTTTCTAAGGATAGCAAACGTGTCTTACTCGCTCCCTGCACATGTTTCTTCCTCTTCCAGCATCATATTCACTTCAGCGAGCCACATAAAAGTCCACTTCCACAACGATTGCAAGAATAATATATCTTGGTTTAATTTAGCGGCTCAAAAGAAAACGAACATAGCAAATTCCACAAGTTATAACATAACTAAACGTGAATACTGTCAAAAGGAAACATGTTGTTACAGACCTACGGTAAAAAAAACGTGTGTTTCCAAACTCTTCAGAACCTGTTTTCCCCGCAAACTAAGACGGGAAGGAACACATTTTTTACCAGCTCTGACTTTACTTTTAAGAACAGCTTCTTCCACAGTTTGCGTAACAATATTAGTTATCTTTTCAGTCAACTCTGCAGTGTCACAATTATGACCAAGTGGCTCAATAAATTAACTTTCACTGTTAAAGGTAAATACATTCCTTCGCACATCATCAAATTTCCATCTACGTGTCTCAGGCAAAGTTTCCATAGTAACTTCTATTCCAGCTTTAACCAAAAGAGGATAATGATCACTTCCTACTGTAGATCGCTTCAATACTTCCCCAGAACAGATCCCTGCAATATCACAGGAAGCTAAAGTTAAATCAATTGCTGATTCTTTATTCTGATAACAATTATACCGAGTTCCTTCACCATCATTTAAACAGACCAAAAACTCCTCTATGATTCTCCCATTACTATCTTTACTACCCCACAGAGTACTATGTGCATTAAAGTCTCCACACCAGACAATTTTTCTAGAATCGGTCCTCCCACAGAATCCAACATGCCTCCAGTAATTCAGGCTACAGTCAGGCTACTATTTCCAAACCACACCCTAACGCTTATGGATTCATATTCTACATTAATATCAAGCATACTATAGTTTAGACCATCTTTAATAAATGTAGCTGCTCCACCACAATTTCCCTCATCTCTGTTCCTTCTAACTACCGTGTAGCCTTGAATAACAAAATCCCATTGTTTTTTCAGCCATGTTTCTTGAATGTACAATATCTGTGATTTGTATTGTAATTTTGTTAAATAGCTCTTGAATTCCAGCTCATTTGCAATAAGACTTCTAGCATTCCACTGAAGGACAGTAACTATCATCATGAACCCCTACCATCCCCTTGTGAACTAGAGCCTGTATTAACCATCTCCTTAACTTCGTCCTAGTGCAACCCCTTTATTCCCAGAAACCTCTCTGCAGATCTAACAATAATTTTGATTCAGTCTGTGCAGCACAGTTAAACACATTTACCATGAAGAGTACAAACTCCTTCTTGTCCACTATCAGGGAGTCCTTAGGTATGTTATGGCAGTGGTCATTTTGATTCTTATCTCTGTTAGAAAATAACCCAATTCTTTTGTTGGAAGCACGAGAAGTGAAGACAGGAGAGGACTGTTTAAAATCAACAGAAAGTTTACTGAAAGTCTGAGCACAGGTAGGTCTTACAGCGCTGGGATCAGAGAGATAGAGCTCCCGCAGGAATTCCATTCTCTGAACCCCTGTGTGTGTGATGCTAATAAGTATGTTAAACTGGCCAGGTGGTCATCTCAGGTTGTAGCCCCCAGCCTCTGCAGGACACCCCAAGACAAAGCAAAGCTTGGGATATGCTAAGTGGCTCGAGGTGTGAGTGTAAAACAGGCCAACCTGTCTCTGTTAAAATGTAAATAGGCTGTCTGGTTTCTATCACTTGATTCTTATCAATACAATTGTAAGATATATACGCAAGGAAAATAAATGTATTAAAAATAACCAAAGCTCAGTAGTTCTGGACAATCATCAATTCAGGTGTAATATGTATAGACAAGGAAAATAAAGGTATGAGAAGTAACTAAAGCTGATGAGGTAACTAGAGTCTATAAGACTCAAATCTTACAGGAACAGAACAAAACCTGGGTTAGAATAGATAGAACATGAGATGGCTAGATCAAACAGATCAACAACAAACTTAAGAAACTGAAATACAGGAACTGCAAAGTCACAGTGGTGGCCATGGAAAAATCCTTATTTTGACCTATTTGGGTTGGCCCTTGGCAATAGGCCTGCATGTCAATTGACCGGGGCCCTGAACTCGCCAACAGCAATGTTTGAGGCAATGGTGGATGTCATTGTGTTTCGCGCATCCTGGTAAGTTTTATTTTTCATTTGTTTTGCCTTGTTGCCAGCCAGCTATGTGGTATTTAGCTGCTACTACTAATTTCTCACATTACTGTTATGAATGTAAAACTAACGGCTAGTTATCTAGCTAGCTGGCCAGTTGTTGAACATTATTCAAACAAACATACAGTGGTGTGAAAAAGTGTTTGCCCCCTTACTGATTTCTTATCTTTTTGCATGTTTGTCACACTGTAATGTTTCAGATCGTCAAACAAATTTATATATTAGTCAAAGATAACACAAGTAAACACATCATGCAGTTTTTAAATGAAGGTTTTTATTATTAAGGGAAAACAAAATCCAAAACTATATAGCCCTGTGTGAACAAGTGTTTGCCCCCCTGTCAAAACACTGGTTTATCGCACCTGAGTTCAATTTCTCT